GGTGATACTGTAGGTTAGATGGCATCTGGGAAAAGTGACTACTGATGTCGTGTGTGTGTGTGTGTGTGTGTGTGTGTGTGTGTGTGTGTGTGTGTGTGTGCGTGCACCCTGTGATGGACTGGAATACTGTCCAGGGTGTATCCTACCATGCGCTCGTTGCTGGGATAGGCTTTGGATTCTTAGTGACCATGTACTGGATAAAGTGGCTAGAAAATGGATTGATGAATGGATAACATGGGAATTAAAATGGATGCAATTCTGTTGTGTGTGACTCCAACTATGTTTGAGGTTAAGTCAATAAATTGTACTTTCACTTGTAATGCATGCATGTAATATAATAGTGAATTGTGCAAAAGTGAAGTGGCCAACTATTGACTTATTAGTACCCTGCCTTCCCTGTATGTGGTGCTAATTATTGTGCTGTAAAGGTGTCTGCCCCACCACAATATTCTACCATCATGGAGCAGGAAGGTATAATTTGATTTTTACTTATAGAAACCATCAAGATGTAAGACATTCTTACGAAACTGACTGCAGAATATGGTACAAACCAAATGGCACCCACACATTGCAAGTGTTACAGGATGGTGCAGGGACTGAGCTCTTACCCCACCTACCTCAAGGTCCAAACCTTGTCCCATCAGATTTTCATACGTTTGTCCCAGTGATAGCTGTCTTCACCCCAGTTGAGGATCTTCTAGAAATATTTTCCAGATTGGAAGCTGGAATCGTTAGGAGTTATCTCCTTATCTGCCTGTGCTATACAACAACAAATTAGACCTTGACTAAGGAGGAGAAGTTTTGCAAATGCCCTCTGACTCTCTACAACAAACAGCACGACATTAGACACCACAAGGAAAAAAGAAAAAGAGGCAGATCTAAGGAGACATGGTGATGTATAGTGGAGCAGTCCAAGATCTCAAGTCCAAGAATTTGACCTGGGAAACAGCACCCAGAACAGCAGCAGATTGACAGAAGTGGAGGTCTCCTACTGCTGCCTCGTGTGTTCAGCTCTGGCTCAAGAGCCAGTCCTGAGTGAGTGAACGAATGCCTCCCTGATGGGTACTCTACAAGGTCAGAAATTCGGCAACGACAATGAGATGCAAAGTTGGTGCAGGAATGGCTCAGGGACCAACCAACATTATTTTAACACAAAAGCATCCCTAACCTTGCGAAGTGGTGACAGACGTATACAGATGTGTAAGGAGCTGTGCCAAAAAATAAAATAGCTCTAACCTCCTGTGACCGCTGTGTAAGTGTATATATCCCCTCCTAACAAAATACTGGAGAATAGTGGGTTAGTCCACCTCCAGTGGTTATTAAAGCTGCAAGACATTGTGCCACCAGTTTCACTACATGTTCACAGGTGTCCATGGAAAATGGGACTACACATCCAACAGTATTTGATGTAGCTCTGTATCAGATGTGGTTAGTGTTAGCCTTTCCATATTTTTTTGTACCTGAATTGCAGTTCCTGTTGGTGTTGTTTTTCTTCCAGCAGCCACAGCCTGTAAACCCTTGAGGCTGAATCGGCGTTAGCTAGGCCTGCTGTTTTTTTTGTCATTGAGGTACCAGAGGTACGTGAACTAACAATTATGCCTCTTGTGAGGCCATTTACTCAAGTCATTTCCCAAAACACAGCACACCGAGGAAAAGGCTTTGTCAGGTACTACTGTATTATAAAGTCCTCACAAAACAAGGGACTCCCCACATGCAGGGCTTTTAATACCAGTTGTGACAGATTTAGACAATACCATTCTCTTATGCTCTGGTAGTGCAGTGTGTTTGTGTGTACCAGGCCTGTATGTACTGAAAAAACAGTTGGGAAAAATATCCAGACCAATAATTTTAGAAAAATATACAGTCAACATTTACAGTAGATCAGCAGATTTTCTAGAAATACACTGTAGTCCCGTCAGTGACACTTTCTTGAGCTGCTTTTCTGACCACATTAGTTAGAAAAAACTTTTTTTTAAAGTTTCACACAATTATTAGTCAGTGTTAGACCTTAAATATTAGGGACCTTAAACATTAAACCTTAAACTGTGGCCTTTAATGTTTTAGCCCATCAGTCCAGTTGATCGTATTGGAATAACCATCTCAATGTGTTTGAAAGCTCATTAATGGTAGATAATCCTTTCACATCCATCCATGTTCTTACTGCTTTATCCGATTCAGGGTCTTGAGGGAGCTGTAGGCTATCCCTGCAAAGCAATGGGAACAAGGCAGGATACACAGGATATGCTCTGAAGGGGACACCAGACCATCACAGGGCACACACAGACACAAACACGTAAACTCACACCAGGATGAATTTTCCCACAGGCTAATTAACCTACCAGTATATCTTTAGACTATTGGAGGAAACTAGAGCACCCGAAGGAAACTCACTCAATATGGGAAGAACATATAGGGTATATTAACATTGCTTACAAATTTTTTATTTCTTTACATTTTCTCTGTTTTCACTAATTTTGGTTTTCCATTATGAGAAAATTAAAAACTGTTTAGATTATAAAAAAAAAACTAATGTGCAAAAAAGAAACCAAACATACAGTACTTTTTTTTTTACTACGGTGGTTTATCACTCAAAACGTGTTTTGTTTAGTATACATATTTCCATGGTAGTAGTCATTGACTTTCAGTATAAAAAAATACAATTTTTTTTACTTGGTATATTTGTAGTGAACAGAGTACCCTTTTTAATCCAACACAGGTAACACTTTATTTTTAAAAATACACTAGGCTGCTGAATGATTAGTAAAGTTGTTTATTCTTTAATTCAACCCACTCAGACCAAGTGTCTATTTCGATTCACTTGCTTGAAAAAAGAAAAAAAATGATAGGATAAAGGCAGGTTCATTTTGTGTTGCAGATATTTCAGATAATTCAATATCCATTCAACCGGAAAAGAAAATCTTCCCCATCACATGTACAGACACGTCTATTTTTTATCCAAACTGTGATACATGATACAAAAATCAATGCCTTTCATAAATAATCATATGGTTCTTTAAAGTTTTATATGAAAGATGTTTTAATTAATTGAGTAGTATTTCACATTGTGCACTAGAAATATACAATACAGCCGATTTAATATAAAAAGTTATCTAAAATGGAACAATTAAGAGCTGCGTAATGCTTCAGTGCTTCTTGAAAATGAATTCACATCAACAGTATCACAGTTAATCTGGTTACCTATCGTGATTTATAAAATATATTTGAGGGGACACATTGTGTATTCAACATAGTCTTTGAGTTCAGCTTTCACTCATTAAGATTGGTCTAAAATCAATAAAAAAATAAAATGCAGTAATCCACTCAGATATCCAAATGCTTAAAATGTGAACTCTCACAGCCATTAAATGAGAGAGGTGTGTAGCTTTATTTCCAAATTTATAAAGCCATAACAGATTTTGCAGTAAACTGACAAAATCTTAAAATTAAAACGATACGCCTTTCCATGTAGTTGGAGATATCGGTGAACTGCATAATATATATTTTAGCAAAACTACTGTACAGTTTCTTTGTGATTATTAAATGTGATGATATTTCATCTATATGCTATACCTACTGTGTGTGTATATATATGTTTTTCACATTTCATTTTCATTTGAACCTTTTTATTCCGTTTCTGCTCCTAACACAGTCTATACTCATCAAGAGCAGAGTACAGATCAGGGTAAAATAAATCTCAATGGCTAATTATTAATAAAATATTTTTAACAATGACACATTTGAAGTCAAATGGTGACTCAATTGTCAAGAGACAAACAAGCCATAATGCAAATAAATCCTCTTTGCTACCAAAACACACAAATAGTTTTGGAGTCATAGTTGGATACTTTCATTAACTATCCTTGTTTTATCTGCAAGTCTGACACACGTGATCCTTATTTCTTAAATGAATACAAAAACAAATATAGTCAAATAGTTTTTTTTTATATGAAGCTAATGTCTACAATAGTGGAGACAAGGTTTTTCTACTAAAAATCATTTACATTTTTCGTTAGGGTCATGTTAAAAATATTTAATGGTGTTTAAAAAATGCTAGTTTAAAGTACATTATGAAACTTATACTTAATAAAAACCTAAAGCTGGCCTCCCTGTGTGTTGTGAGAAACAATCCAAACATTTTAACACTGCAAACATAGGCAATGTATATAGAAATCAGTAATGGAGTCATAAATCACTTGCAATATTTTTAATAGGCACTGATTTTATTATAACACAAAGGCAGTTTTACTCAACTGACATATACGCCTGACTTACTGCTGACTGCCTATTACATGCCTATAATTTACAGTATGTGCTTACTAACCTGTGTAAATTCTAGAAGATATTTCTTTGCCACATTAAAAAGCCTATGATGCATAAAGAAGAGGGACACACATACCAGTTAAAAGGCAGGCATTGAGATACACATTTTTAATGCATAATATTCTACTTCTGAAGCCAATCATATAATTCTCCTTCCTATTTTATGAATTCCTTGAATTTACAGCACAATGAAACCCCTATTTTATGGTCAAGACATTAAGAGTGAATAGAGCGTCTAGAGCAGGTAACCATTCTATTTATTTCACAGCCCGAACATATCTTAAACATAGGTTTTAAAGTATACCCTTTTTTTATATTAACTGGAGGTCTCCTTTCTTGAAATGTACAAGTATAATGCTTCACAGATAACAGATAAACATCACAATTATAATGAGCTCAAAGCAAAAACTACCTTTGGTCCATTACACAGACACATTTCTTCTATGTTAGATACACAGTATGTACAATGCTGAAATGACTAAAGCATAGCTTTTTTACACAGCATTCCTCCTGAAGAATAATGGAAATGATACTGGTCAGTTCTTGAAATTGCTATATTTTAAATATAGACACTAAGGTCGACCTACTGTATGTACCCTGCTAACTGAGGAAATTAAGTAGCTGTTTTCAATAAAGGGGCATACATTGCAGATAAATGCAAATAGCTTCAGCTCCAGGAAAGGAAAAAAACAACTATATAATAAAAAGATCTGGTATTCCAGTGTGCAAATGTCTACCTATTAAAATCCATTCCTTGTTTTATTTTCAAAGTGTGAATTAAGATGCCTAAAAAAAGTGTCTTCTGGGAGGATGGCATCACAGAATGCACAATTTTCAGGGTTTCTCTTCTGCTCTGGATCAGTATAGCCTCCCTCGCAGTGCTCAGGGCTCCAATAGGGCTACATGCAAGAAGAAAAAAAAGCTGTATTTACTTACTACATTCCATATTTTTCCATGTACATTGCCTGTCACAATTACCACATGAGTAGGAGCATATATCATATGAATAAAAAGACTGCAAAATGTCATTTAGGCCTAATTACACAATTTCATTTTAATTATCTTCACATTAGAATATGACCTTTCAGTATATGAAGCCTGGCCAAGTATCAAGTCAGTTACAGTAATAGCCTATGTATCATGTGTGTCGTAGAGACAAAATCCAGAGATCACTGCTAGTAAAGAACGGTGCATATTATTTTTTGCATAAGGACATGGCTGGTATTTAGAGTTCACTTTTTTACCCTAGTCCCTCAATAACCACAGGGGATATTATCTGTTTTTTCCATGTTTGTGACAGTAAAGCAAACACCGTGCAGTGTTTACAATTTTTGATATGCCAATTTGATACTCTAAGCATTCACTGATCAGTGTCATAACCCTCGAATTCTTTCTGAAATTCGAGGGGTTTCAAACAATGCAATGATTTCATTATTAATTTGAGGGTTACTATTGAAATAATTCTGAAGTATTTTTAAACAAATGAACAAGAAAACTCATCTCCCCCATCATCCACCCACTCATATATATTTGTAGAACAATGTAGGTTGGTTATATTCTGCTGAACATCAACACTTATTCAACAAAAATATTTTTTTTCATATTCCGTTCAAATTCCTAATTTCCAAGACATAATGGCTTGAGTAACTAAAACCTGATGTATTAAACTTTTCATTAATAATAAATGTTAAGAATATTATTAAAATATTTGAATCAAGGAAAAATATTTGAGACTAAACAATTTTATGCTACTTAGAATCATCCATGCTTTTGTGTGGGTGTGCATGGGCATTTGCATTTTGTGGATAACAAATATGTAACAACTGCTTGCGTACCCTTTGAAAAAACAGTGACAATCAGTATTAAAAAAACAACGTAAAAATCTTTTCATCTACTTAACGTTTGTTCAAACTTAAATGTGCACAATAAATATAAATATGAAGTGACTTTCAAAAGACAAAATAATATGTATAACAATATATCTCTCTTAGATGTACTGTACATTTTGAGATACAAATAATTTCTTAGCTTCATTATGAAATTAGAAAAAACAATAGAAAAGTAAAATCAATTATCAGAAAATTAAAATATGAAAAAGTGTCATAAAAACATTTACATTTTACACACCTCAATTTGAGATGCACACAACTTCCCTTTGAACAATATTGTGTACACCACACAGAACATACAGAACATGTAAAAACATCATTACTGTGACAAAAGCAGAGCACAGAGAAATCATGGTAAAACACAGAGGTAAATGATAAAACAGGAGTATCACAGTTTATGAAAGAAACTGACTCATCTTAAATTAAAATCTGCAAAATTATAGTGCAGACTAAACTCTCATAAGGGCACTCTGGGGTCCATCTTCTGTCCTGTTTGTGAAATCCTCTTTAGAGAAACTCCAATACCCTTACCTCCCATAACTACAAAAGACAGTACTCAAAAAAGGATAAAACTGCATATTGTAGTTATCTGCACATCCTACAGATCCCATATGTGCTCAATTACTTGTAAGTAATAGAGGCAATTAAACGACTGCTTTCAACTTTAAAATCCATTTACTGGACTGAATGCTTAGTATGGCAGTATTGGACGAAAAGTCCTCCCTAGTGACATTTTTTACAATCAAACTTACCAGTATTGGTATTTGCTTTGTATAGCCATTTGCATAGATTAATGTCTCTGATCAAGACAAACCTGGTTGACACCTCACGCTTTAACCTGCACATGCGGTATATCAGAATAAAGAGGGGTGTATATTTGTATATGCATAACCTCTAGAGCACAGTGGCACCCAGTAATGCGGTTACTTAGGGAACCTTTCTAAATGACATCACGATGTCAGTTTCATATTGGAGACATTTCAAATTGTAATTATTACTAAGTAAAGGAATTCTGATCTAAATTAAGTAAATACTACTAATTCTCAGTGGCAACAGCATGTGGGTTAATCAAAGGCCAACAAGTGTGTTAAATAAAGGATAAATACTGTGAAAAAAGCAATAAAAACATTCTTATAGACAACAGAACAAGTAATTGCACATACGGGAAATCTAGTTTTTCACAGACAACTTTACATTCCTTTCTAAAAAGAGAAGTAGTATTTTAGGGGAAACTGCCTGTCTTATTAAGAGTTAACAGGTGTACTTCAAACTTGTCTCATCTTTTCCATTAGCACTACACACTGGTGCCATACCTGGCCGGAGGAAATCAATATATTGAAATAATAAATCCCACAAAATAGAATTCAGTCAACCACTAGTTTTATTAGCACCAAATGTTATTGATTAATAATCTATTCAACCTGTAACCTTCTTTGTCGTAGATATTAGCAGTGATATTTTGCGATTTGAAATTAAAACATTTCCCCCGCAAATTGCTTTGCACTGTAAACAATGCAAGGAAAAAAAAACTACAAATACTCTGTTCAGGTTTTAAGGAGCTGAACGCAGAAATAAGAAGGGGGCCTAGGCATTTTTTTTGCAGAGAAAGATTGCGTTATGGAATTTCATTACTGGAAAAGTTCCCAAGCAATCTTCACAAGATTGTTTACCACGTAGACCTAATTTTATATATAGCGTAATGAGAACAAATAAAATTGTCACTGCATAACAACTACTGCTTTTGATGTGACCCATTATCTTTTCATAACAGAGAAGTCTTCAACACATTATTATCAGAAAAAATGTCAATTATCTAACCCCCTGCCCCATGCTGCGCGCCGGCTCAACACCAATTCTTTTATTTTTTAAGCAGCATACTTCACCATAAACTTGTAATCACATACCAGCTGTTTCATTTATTTTTATGCAGTTTGTATGGTACAATGCAGGGTGCCAGCTACTGAAAGAAACAAGATACACAATGCAACTAGTAAAAGAACAATCAAGAGAAATTATGGAGAATAAACGAACAAGTAACAAGTAATGTAATATAATGTGTGTTTCACAGCTCCACAGGACCTCTACTAGTTATAAATGAAATGGCATAATTTGGTTCGCTAAGTCTCTTACTATTACAGCTGTGATAAAGCGACACTTAAGAAGATAATGTTTACAGAGTTTTATATAAATAATTGAAGAACAACTGAGTTTTCAGTTTCCACAGTCAACATAAATGCTTTGCTTGTGAGATACTGATGATGAACAAATATGTGAACAGAGAAATGCCTGTACATTTTCAACTTTTCATTCAATCATTTTGAATTATTTACAAAAAGCTGTAACCACTATGCTGCTGTATTTAAGTCTTCCTCTGCCAAATCATATTACTGAATAAATAAACAAGGACGTTTTCAGTGAAACGACACCCTGGATTGTAACAGCAAAGAAAAGGCTTTAGCATATATACATGTACAGTGGGGAACAATGTTTTGTCATTATTGTTTCTGTCAGCTGTTTTTTATGTTTCCTAACACATAGTATTGGGTTCTAAATCTTTTATTGTTGAAGTCCACAATACTCAGCATAACTGGAGATTTTACACACATTCCTGTGCGAGCACGAGGCGATGTGTTTTAAAGCTTACCTGCTGTGGTCCTCGAACGTTCTCATGGGTAAAAGAAGTTGAAGGGGAAGGTGTCTGAGATGTAGGATTTGCAAACGCATATTGTACGGGAATATCCACAGTCTGTTCATCAGTCACCCTTGGGAGGCTGGTAGCCAAAGCATGATCATTTCTTCCTGGTGCAAGATCTAGTTTTCTTTCTGGTGCACTGTTTAAGAAGACGTCATATTCACTCTCTGCTGGTGGAAACTTGATACTCAGTTTAGACAAAGATTCCATGAATTCCCCCTCTTCTGGACAGACTCCCCGAGATGTGATAGATGCAGAGGTTGTCTCTTTATCGGAGTCAGACTTTTTGGCCGATGTGAAGGGTCCCTCAGCTTGTTCTACTGTTACATCAGTGCACTGAATAGGCATGGAAAACTGTTGTTCTAAAAAACAAAAATGTAGCATTTTTCACAATTAGTTTAGAGAAGGATAACTAACCATGTGCTTAAATTAAACGTGCTAAAACTTACAATAAATACTATGACAACATTTTATAGCTGCCCTTCCATCTTACTTGCAGTTCTATTAAAACTATTAAATACGTTGTTAATGGTTTTAGCAAAAGGTATATATTATAATCTTATAAAGAATCTGAAAAGTACTTTGTATTTGCCATTTGTATTAACACAATAATATATTTATGAGTAGTTTTCCTTAAATATAAAAAGAACAACAAGATGGAAACTATGCTTTACCTTGTGCTGTGTCATTTGCTCTGCATAATTTGTTCAGGTGATCCTTCTGTTTTCTTGTTAAATTCTGTATCACATGGAATTTACCCTGGATCTCCTGAAATGCCTCGAGAATTTCTTTACTGAAAGATTAAAAAGCATCGACATTGAGAAAATACCTGTTCAGTACGTAATTTTAAAAAAATCTTGAATAAAAAATATCAGTAAGAAAACTCTGTTTGAATACTGGAAAAGAGTGTGGGTACCTTTTGTCATCAGAAATTCCAGGAGATGAATAAACAGTCATCTCTGGAGTTTTCATGCTTTCCTTCAATGAAAGAAAATGATATTGGAATAACTTCTAGTTTCTGACTGAAAAGAGCATTCCAAGAATTTCTTACATGGAATTTTTTTCCACAAATGCTAATAATGCCAACACCTAAGGGAACCTGAAAAAAAGTTATCTTATTTGCGGCAATCTGAAATGGAAAATTCCCCCTATCCCAAATAAAAAAAGGAACTTTGCAATTTTATATGATGAAATGTAATTGTTTTTAAGACTCAATAAAATACGATATGAAAGAGCTAACTTGTTAAGGAAGGTAAAATTAGTTTCCAGTAAACAATAACTTTATCTTGCAGCTTTTATAGCATTATTTGTCTCTTTTCTTCATGAATTGATGTGAATGTTTTTGATAAGAAAAAGGGTTGGGGATCATTTTTCTGATGAAACAGGGTGAAAAACGTGAACCACTGGACTTGTGCTCCTATGAAAGGCAGTAGATTTCCCCTTAGATTTTGCAACAGTAAAAATATATGAAGCAACACATGTAGAATATTATGATATGCCTGTATTAAGATCATATAAACTGTCAATTAAAGCCTGGACAAGAAATGTTTACTGCTTAATTACTAAGTCATAAAAGCTGGTAACAACACTTGCTTAATTAAATATATACACAATTCAGAAGAGTAAGTACTGAAGTTAATTAAAGATGATGTGAGGTACATTAAAAAAAATAAATGCCAAATTGTGTTTTGGCAGATTTCTACAATTTTTGCAACACACATTTAATTAAAGACAAAACATCTTTCTTTTAGCTTCCATCTAAACCACTGGCAAAAATATTTCAACAAAGTTATAGACACAGGGAAGCAGAAAAAGAGTTGTTTTATGTAACAAAACTTGAATTTAAACTTTCTTTCAAAGAAAATATGCACTATTTTAACTGTTTTATCATATGAACATAGAAATGTTTCCTCTATCTATTCATGCATTTATAGCCAAATTCTCATTTGTCTCCTCTAAGAATTCATCATTCATCCCCATTTTTATTAGAATTCCCTGCAGGTTAAATCTTTTTAAACTAGACACCAATTTTATTCTAATATGTTATTTCAATGCTTCATTCACTTTAATCACAGCATACTCATCTCTTCAAATATGGTTTTATCCTACAGCACCACCTGCTGAACAAACATTATTTTTATTTATCCATCTCTGGCTAGAATTGTATTTGCATTAGCACTGTGTACAGTATTTATTCCTGTGATTCACTAAAAACCAAATGTAGAAGCTGAAGCTTTACACGCCTGTGGTGAAATGAACAATTTACATCTGGAGTCCAACATAAAAAAATGATTGATGTTATCTGCTGGAGTCTGGAGTTCCTTTTATATCTTATTTATCTAACAGGAATTAGGTTGCTACTGCTTGGTTTCTTTATCTCTAAGATCTGAGACCCATTCCGAGGTATGCAGAAATAACATTCATAGTTATACTCCAAGCATAATTTCAAGCAAAGGTCAATCACTGACTTTGATGAATTACCATTACATGTTTTTGTCTCTGCCTGTTTGTCTCGTGAAGATGATCACATTGTGACAAGGGCTTTGTTTCATGTGTTCTTTGAGCTGGCAAATGACTATCCTTGATTTCGGGCGTAGCATCACTGCCTTTCACCCTTCCTAAAAAAAAGAAGACCTTTATTAAGTATTTCATTGGAAATATTTGAAATGTAGTACTTCTACAGATATTACAATGCCTTTCAAAAGCTTTCAGACTCTTGCACAGTTTTCACATTGTTAGTTTAAACCTCCAGTCACGACACTATGTAGCAGTTTACCTGTCCCATCAACACCTACTCCCATATTTGCCCTATATATTCAAAGCAAAAAACAGAAAGTACATAACATGAAAGAACAACTGAAAGTTATGATTGCTTACGTATTCAAATCCTTTGCTAGGGCAAATCAAAATTAATCTATGTGTTGAGTGGCCTCTGGCCCTGTGCAGTAACAGTAGTTCATTTCAGAATAAATATAACCGTCTCCAGAGCAGGTAGATATTCAACCATACTTTTAAAACAAATCAGAGCTAAAGCTATATAAAGGTTCAGATCAGAAGAAGGGTACAAACACATTTCAAAAACCCTCCCTAGTATCTCTTTGAGCATTGTAAACCTGAGCATTAAGAAGTGGAAGAGTCTCACATTAGTCTTATTAGACCTTGTCTTGCATTTCCTTGTAGATCTGGTCCTGTATTTAGAAAGTTTTATTTGCATTTCAGCATAAAACGTATACCCGTCTAACACCCAAAAAAATAAATAAAAATTGGGATCCAAATGTGAAGGATAAAATAAGTATTTTCATCACAAAAGACAAATAAAAAAAAAAGCTACTAAATGGACAAATAAAGCAGGAGCTAATTTTTATATACAGTACCTTTAGACAAGCTTCCCACAGAGTTTAGTTGGGATTTAAGTGAAGCAATTTCCTGTTTTTGGTTTTCTAACTGCTGATGGAGCTCACAGATATACCGGTCATAAGCTTCTGTCTACAAGAGAGAAGTATGTGGTAAATTAATGACAGAACAGAGCCTATTGTATGTGATATCTGCAAATAACACTTTTTAAATTTGCAAGAAAAGTTTAAGTGTTTTTGGGAACAAAACATCCAGAATAAAGCAAGGGAGTTAGTTACATGGTGTTAGTGAGTGCTTTCCCAGGGGAATGCTTTAAAAAGTATACATAACATCTATAACAACCAGTTTCAAAGATCTAACACTAGATTTTCAACTAATGGGTACGGTCAAAATTATACAGTCACACTTTAAAGGTTACAATATTACATTCTATAAATGGATATTAAGCCACCTGTTAATACATTTATAAAGTATTAGCAATGGAACAAGCTATCTTCTTCAAATACCCTATGGATGGTGAAGTGGGGCATAATCATGGTTTTATTATTAACATGCAATTGATCAATAGTACAAGATGTTTATCATAACATTTTTGCTACTCCATAAATACAATTTATATTAATATGCTCCAATTATAAAGTATTGAAATATGACATTCACAACCCCTAATCTAAAGTGTTATTTTATATATTTAAGAAGAGTTACATCAGATTGCAATCTAAAACCATCTTGCTTTCATAATCTAGTTGTGAAATCCAACAAGATTATTCTAATAATTCCTGTTGGAATCATTTCACATTTTTCAGGGAACTCTATTTTAAATTCTCATTTTTTGGAAAATCAAAGAGTTACCTTGAAAACAAAACAGAAGCTATAATATAGGACAATATGATAATTGAAGTTAATCATCTTGTTATAAACAAAAAATAAGCAAGCAATCTCTGCACAATTCCACAATTCATTTTTTTGTGTTATTTTACCAACACTTGTAAAGGTATTCTGGAATGTAACTGAAATAATTCATTGATTTTAATGTCTTATTTTCTAGTCGTGCAGATACCACTAAAGGGGCTGAGAGATCATAGTAGCTGTATCTAACAATCTGGTGCAAAACAGACTGCATGCCAAATTCTATTCAAGACAATCTTGGGATCAGCATATAGACAGAGAAGAAGGACGAGATATTGGACAAAATCACAGAAACACCAATGAGCCACCATGTCTGGTCAGGTCAGTCCTTTTCCATCGTGGCATAGAGTCTATAAGCATCACGAATTCTGCAACAGGGATGCAGCACCATTCTTCCACGACAAATTCAAACAACTCCCCAACCAAGCAGGAAAGAAATGTTGCAACATGGGGTAAAGATGATCTCTCAGTACCATTAAATAGCAATTAGCACTGAACTTGGTTCTAAGGGAATGAGTGCACCCAAACCATGTCAGGAAACTGCCCCACCACATTACAGAACCACCAGACCCCTTCACTGTTGGAACCAAGCACTCGGTACTGCAGAGTTCCTTGGCTGGCACCACATGTGCACTAGTCCGTTGGTCCAGGACACAATAAATGATGATTCATCTGTCCATAGTACATTTCTCCACTGCTTGGTAGTCCATTACCTGAGCTTTTTTCACTACTGGGCTCGTAAACATGCACTGTCAGATCTGACGAGCTGTTTGTACACTACTACATGCCTATACAACCCACTCTGTTGAGTTCTCGGCAGACTGTTTTTGATTAATCTGCCTTCTCGCGCCCCAGATTGACATTTGTAGTTAAATGATCTGCAGTTGCTCATCTTTTTTGCCATGTAACTTGAATAAACGCAGAGATATCATGATCCGGTAGATCGTCTTTCCCTCGGAGTTCCAAGGAGACATCACCTTAGACCAGGCCTTTCCAGCATTGTTAAATGTGACCCTAAGTATGCAGGGATGTTTCTTACTTACAGTACCATGATCCACACTACGAGGAAGTTTTTGCTTTCCATATACTTGCTGTCCCATTTTTATCCACTACATGTATGTTACCTATGAAGCACTGTGTAACAGCAATTAAGGTACTGTACGCAAAGACCTTTCTGTAAATAATTGCAAGCACCATCATCTAGACAGTAATGTACAAACACAATAAAATGAGAACTATAACACATTTTGTGGGGAACTTTAAATCAGTACCAGGATAAAGTTACTTCCTAAAAATAATGCAAAACAGTAATTCATACCTTTTGCTTGAGTTCCTTCCTAGCATTTTCTTTCTCAATTGATGCTTGACGGTAGGCTTCATAGGCTTTGTTGAGCTGGTCTCCAATATTTCTGTCTAAACCTCGCTCCATTACTCCATACCATTACTAGTGGTTCAGTCTTGAGACCTGGGTTTAAATTGAGCATGGAACAACAAGGACATTGCAATACAGTTTTTAACAATAAATAACAGCAATGAAGACAGAAGCTTACAACATCTGTACCGACTCTTAAGTTAAGACCTAAGTAAAAGACATGGAGGTACTTATGTCTGTTAAGAGATGAATTTGAAATTGGTTACATTAAGTATGCCTAACAGATCCCTTATACTAAAGAAGATGGCTAGTGTACAGGTCAACTTTTCTTTGCAGTTAATTTACTTAATTTACAGTGTAATTCAGAGCATCTTTTCCATGAATTTTATTTATTAAGGCATCTCAAAAACTTGGAAGTCTGTGGGTCTCCAGGACCTGGGTTACAATTGTGACCATTTTATCACAGTAACACAAACCTTATCCAACTCATTAAGAGTCTAACAACATTACTTTTTCAATATTTTATGTATACAATGACATCTCCAAAAATACAACAGTTTCACTCCTGATAATTACTGTAGGTAAACTGCAGTTATCACTACAGTCCTTTACATGTCAAGTACAAATCATTTTAACAATCTTAAAGGGGAACTGCAGTCCCCATTTCTCAGACCGGTGATTAAATCTCGGTAGCAAAATAAAATAATTAATAATTGCGCAAACGCCAATGTGAAGCAGCGCTCACTCAGTCGCCCTAATGACTAACGTAACACAATTTACGAGCGAAGAAGTACAGGTTATAAAGCTGACATTTCACCGCAGAACTGTTCCAAACTGATCTGCATGCAGTTAACAAGTATTTGTCAGCTAAACCATCTGAAGCAATGTTCCCGTTGGATTAAAAGAGATATATTCACACGTCTGTTTGTATATAATGTAACAGGACATTTCCACTTCTGTATGTGTTGTTGCATCATTCCGAATCGCAGAATATATATCGCTGTGCATACCTGGAAAATGTGTCTATTTTGTGATGTAAATTGGAGGTTTTACATGTTACTGTGGACATCTTACTTTCATTGGGATTTGAAATGCACTCATCAATGCTGATTCTTTCCAACCCTGAAGTATAAAAATAGAATCGCAGCTCCCCTTTAAACAAAGCTTCAGGATCAATAACAACTTGCTGGTGAGACTGAAGTCATGTTATCATGCTAAATATTCCTAATTAACTTTAATGGACTGTGAAAATATCTAAAAATACCGGTATAGGTATTTGCAAACGCACAATTAGATTATAAATGTAGACATTAATAAGACCATTTTCAAAGAACAAAGCAGCCCTGGCTCAGTGGAGTAAAATCAGTTAAGATGTACCATGTCTTAATTGCTATAATGGGGTTTTGTTTCCTATAACTGTTAAAGGTATCCATTGTGGCTACAATATAACCATATGATATTCCTAACAATTAATTTGTTCTAGGTAGAAAGAATGTTCCAGTCACACCACCTGTGTCAGTCTGTTAATCACAGAAAGTGCAATACCCTAACCTTTATACACGTATTAGCGGTTTCTAATGATAGCTGAATATGCATTTAATTTTTTATTTTCTACTTTGTACTATTTCTTCACAGGACGTTTGTGCATATGGCTGAAGAATTAATGTTTTTATTAGTTAAACTAATGAAGTACTTACAGTAAACTGAATCGAGGGCTTGCAGATGTTGGAAATTGTACTAAACCATTACTTTGGGTGGAGAGGAAATAAGGAGAAAGCAAAATTTTACATGTATGTGTAAATAATTTATTGAGATACATCCTATCAACAGAAACAAAAAGGCGTCAGCCAATTAGAAACTAACGTTTCTGAATTCAGCTAAAAAATGAATTATCAGGATACCTGCTGTGACAAGACTAGTCAACGTTTAATGGATAACTTTACAGTCAAGACTTGCAAAAGTACTAGAGATGTTTTAAAAATTATGAAAGTTCTAAACATAGTGGGAATATGTTTGAGACAGATGTTAGGGTCAAATCGATAACCTTTCTGGCAACTTAATTAAACAAATAATTTTAATTTTAATTAATTAGACAAGACTCAAGAAGGCATGCACTGGTCCAAGAACACTTATAATAAACAGACCTATCTATTAATGATTTTAAGAAAGTTTTTCCATAGACATTTTTTTATGCTGCAGAATGCAGATGAAATCAATCCATACATCTGTTAACAGCTTTATACCGTTCAGGGCTGCAGGAGATGCCAGAGCCTATCCCAGCAAGCTGCAGATGAAATATCTTTTTTTTTGCATTAAATTCTATTCCTCTCTATATAATACTAGATATCTCCTTATCAAGTGTATAAATGGATATATGCAATAGTTGGTATTAGTTTACGATAGAAACATTTGCACATGTACGTGTAAATGCATTTATCCATTTATTGACTTTGTATGATTCTATTGGGTGATTGAAATGTTCTGAAACTATAGTTATTTAAAAGATTTTGGCCTGCTATTCAAACCACTGTTCAGTCAATGCTAATGTACAAGAATATCTCCAACTGCAACAAAAAACAACCCCAAAAAAGAATACATAACCAGTCCATAATTTTCAAATAGCTGTTGTTAAGCCATAGAACTTATTAAATCACAATTTAATAATCACTACCAGCACTAGGTCTGTGTGTTCCAAGTCTACGAACTTGTACCAATGAGCACTGAAATTACCATTAATACCAGGTCGACACTGTTAACAAGAATTTATTCTCAATCGATTTATCTGGTGAAATAAAACATGCGACTTTTAATGAGATGAAATTATTTGCTTTCAATACTGATAAAGAATAGGGTAGTTAAAGTCATTACTGAAACATTAAAAACAAAGCCACATAACCTGTCATTACAAACAGTAAAATTTTAAACAATTAACTAGTTTGTATCCGATAGACAATTAAAAATACATATGGACTATATTTTAGTTGAGCCCCATTTAAAGTGCCTACAGAGCTCTACCTCATTTTAAGTTCACCCTCGTTACAGTGTTTAAAATGACAGTTTATCTGCACAAATATATTACTATAGAGTGTATGGTGGTTATAACTTGTCTAAGTGCCAGTAGGCCGCTTTGCGCTACTTCACACATTTACACAAATTCAATAAAATCAGATGACTGTTTTCGATAAAATAATTAAAACAGGAATCATACTTTCTGTAATAAAGCCATCTGTATTAAGTAACAGTACACAAAACGAAAAGACATCATGATGCAGTGTCATTTTCAGTTTGATGCAAACTATACGTTCTATCATACAAAGATAATGCTAATGCTTGATCATTTCGGTTGTTGCTTTTCTATGTTCAGCTTTATCGTTTACTAAATAGTACATTACCTTAGTTCGCAAAACTCCCAGCAAGTAGGCTACATTTATTCGACTGCTTGAGTATTCGGACCGTTTTTATTCTTGAAGTCAAAGTTTTTTTTTCTATCGTCCCGATAGAGGAAACAGCGCATTTCTCTCAAAATGTAGCAACATATTACATGTGTTATGAGCTGGGAACTTCCAACGGGGAATCCCCAGTCTGAGACTTCCGCTTTGCAGACTTACAAAACCAATCAGGACTGGAGTTACTGATGGACGGAAAATGGTCGTACACGCTGAACTGTCAATGTGCAACTCGACATTTTTTCAAGATATATTATTTTGAAACGTCCTGCTCCTCGTTCGGCGAAGGCTGTATAGATTCATAACTGGATTCCCCCATACATTGTGAATGTCAGTGTTCTTAGGTTGTTTTCCTGTTTCAGCGACTTTCAAACCTTGCGTTTATTTTTTAAGATTTATTAAAGCTGATGGCTGGCTGAACGTTTTATTAATGAAAGAAAACCTTTCTTTCTCTCTCTCTCTTTATAGTGTAAATACTAAAAGCATGTATCACTGTTATGTTTTTACAGTCACTTGTTCTGTATTTATGTCGCATGGCGCTAAGTATGAGTTAGACAAATATACACATCCATAGCTTAACGCCACCAAGAGGAAACGACTATTCAGGCAGTAGCCCTTAAATCTAACATTAGATGTTAAAGTACGTCTCTTGCTGTATTCAATCCAGTATCCAGTGATATTTTAAACACTCGCTCATCCTACCAAATGGCAGTTAATACATTCAAACCACCGGAAATTTCAAAATGCAGAATTTCGGGCTTTAGTAAGGCTGTCACCGCAGGAGTATATGGCTATGCCCAGCTGTTTATCCTTCCTGGACAGCTGGCATCTGAGCTATATAACAGTGGCTCACACGGGAAACCTCCGGAGGTTATTTGTCCCTCTCTCCTTCATTATATTAAGACACTTTGCCGCAACCACTTTATATCCTAGAGCTAACGCCAGCATGACCAGCAGTATTTATATTAATCCTTGAAAAAGTTGTAGCTACAGCCAGGCCAGTCTCCTCTTCCAGTGCGTTCTAGATATCGATATCTACTCCATCTGTAGAAAAAATATATTGTAATATATTGTAAAAAAAATAATCGATCAACATCAAATAAAAGCAGGAATTCACAAATGTTCTGCGTGGTGATCTAAACCGATTCTTAAGTGCCCGTTGGGTTCACCAGCAGATGGCGGCTTACGAGCACAGCACACAGCACAACTACTTACAAGCAAACAGGTGAGAAACTACATCAAAATCAAAACTATTTTTCATTCTTTATAATGTGTCCTTTCCTATGATAAACAGTACAGAATTGTAAACTGGTGTTGGAATTTTTAAATGCAAGTAAACATTTGTCCTTCAACCTTTTTTTTAACAAAAGTGCATTGTGAGCCTTAAATAGCAGTATAAATGCTTAACATATTTTCTGTAGATTTAAACAACCTTTTACATTTTATTTGTTTTTATTCAATCTGCTTTTAATGGTTTTGTTCAATAGACTATAAACAGACATCTGTTCTGGGTTAAATGCAATAGTCATTGATAGTGTGTGGATTGTGGTGGTTAGTGTGGTAGTTTGTCCGGCTCTCTTGCTGCTCTTGGGTTCTAGGTTTGATTCCAAGATTGGGTAAAATATATGGAAACTGAAGCCCATTTTGTCCTTGTTTGCCTTTTCTGGGAGCTCCAGTTTTCTCCCACCTCCACAGATATGCTGGCTTGATTTGACAGGCTAATCTTAATTGTTCCTTTCTCTATGGCCCTGCAGTGGATTGAAGCCCTATCTGGGGTGAAAGCGATTATACAATTCATATGATTTGAATCATGTGGTGTGAGATGTACATGGATTCCTAAATGGTGTTAAATGGTATTTAAAACAATTATGTACTTTGCAAATAACATTAAAACCTCTGTACTGTAATATAGCCTAATGGCTTCAGTTTACTATCTCATGCAGTATCATCACACAAATATTCAGTGACAAGGCCACTGTTATCTTCTGTATATATGTCCCTATTTAAATAGATAGACATGTTTACTTCATGAAGTTAAACACTTCACCAATTGCAGACAGGCAGATGAATACAGTGTGCCAGTTTGCAGCACTAATTAGTGACAGAAGGAAATGTAATCTTGAGGTTACGCTGGCTGCCCACACACAAAAAGTCTTGCAGTTCCTACATGTTTGTAGTAATCCTTTGTTTTATCTCTGTCTGGCTTCTCACATTTGGGAATCCTGAAGGGGTTCTGCAGGACTTGCCATGCAAGAATCTGTATGGATGTTAAAATCAAAGTTATTCTGAAACCCTGCAAATCTAGCATTATTTTGTTCAGTGGGTGCAAAGAAGACAAACTGAATTCTGAGAGTTAACCATTCAGACATACGGTAAGTGACATCTTAAAAGTGCCATTAATTAAATTTAACCAGATACAGTTGGGATGTCTTGATCTTTCTTCCTTCATTGCCTTTTCCCCATATTAATTTAGCTGGTTGAACATGCACTAAGACTCAATGCATCTATATTCTCAGGCCAGTCAATTAGTCCTTCAGCGTTCCTGGGAGCTCTCTACCTCAGCCCAGCCGCTTGAATCCTACCTCCAGCCCTGTTACATACCGCTGCCTCCCCCCCTCCCCATAGCTCAGTCAACAACAGCCTGTTCCCAAAGTTTACCGTAATCATTCAGTGTAGGATGAAGATTGTAGAGTCAGGTGGGTTTGCCCTAAAGCCAGCACCACAAACAGGGAAGAACAGGGCCTGTACAGGAAGTTAGGGTGGAAAAGCTGTAGAGTTGCCTGTGCAACTGAAGTCAGTACAAAGTCCAAGCAGTACATAACTACATGGACGTAAGTAAAAAAAGAATGAAGAGCCAGGTAGCATATATTGAGAAAGAATGAAGAGCCAGGTAACATATATTGAGAAAGGAAATCCAGGATGGAGAAGGGACAAGGGACCACATTAAAATAACTACTATAATGCTAATGCCCTTGTTTCTCCAAATAAGATGAGAGAAAGGAAAATTACCATATGGAATTTATTATTGTGGAAAGTAGGAAAGTGAGAATGCCATGCCTTGTGGGATTTTAGAAATCTTTTCCTTAAACACCAAATTGTAATTAAGTATGTAATTATGGGGATACAATCTACAGTGTCTCAGGGCAACATCATAATAAATTAAATCATGAAGTCTGCATGGAGAGACCAGACAATCTTCAAGTGGATGTCAAAATACTGTAGTATCAGGGTTAGACAGTGATTACAGATGGAATTGGAATTTAAAGCTTGGCAGAGGTAGGTTCACCACAAATCTTTCACACTGCAGAATGAAGAATTTAAAATGCAGTTACTTCCTTTTCCGTATGGATATATATGATATTTTAGCGTGCAAACTAGCTCATTGCTCTAATGGGGGAGAAAGGGAAATCTTATAACTTAAAAAAGTCAAGCCAAGAAACACATTCCTTTGTATTATGCAAATGCAAGCCTGAAGTGTTAAAACGTTATTGAAAGTTGATAGCAGGTAAAGAAGAATAAATCCCAGTTCCAAGAGAATTGAAATGTTTGACCTGCAGCACATTTGGAGGTACACCAGGTTTCTCCATTGCAAAATTTAACAGCAGCAGCAGACTTCGAACAGTTGTTTTTATACCCAAATCATCTACAATAATTAGCAAATGAGGCAGGAACTGGGTGACATTGTCTACACATAATAATTTATTGTAATGGTTGCATGCCCAATCATATGCAACAATATGGCTCTGGGCTTTGAAGTGGTGTCTTTCAAAGTACCAAGAATGCCAAGATCTTTATGAGATGGACTCACATTTCTTATTCTTCCTGCTCCTTCAGCATGACTATGAAAAGGCAGACTATGAAAATGTGTCAAAGCAGGACGAGGAGTGACCTCTCCAAAGGACCAGTGAACACTATGTATTCAGTAAGTCTCAATTGGACTTAAGAGTAGGGAAGAACTTACTATTTAAAATTCATAATTCAAATACCTTTATGGGCATGACCAATTAATTTTCCAAAGCAATATGAATCAGACTAAATTTAGAAAAATAACATGCTATTATTTGAGAGACTCAATCTCCCCCCTTCTCTGTAGTATTAATTGCTATTCTGATTCCGTGGCTGTCTCATTCCTGAGTATTTTTTGGAATGTTGCAGAAAGAGCAGCTCTGTTTCTGTTTCTCCCTGTCGACAAAGAGAGCACAGCCTTCCAGGGTAGCCAGGTCGGCCTGTGTCACCAGTGTCTCAGGTCTGCTTCTCCTTGTCGTTCACGCGGGTCTAATGCTCTGTGTGTATTACCTTTTTAGGAAGACCAGCCATTTTGCAGACCTATATGGAGGAGCAGAACAGGCTCTACACAACTAATTCGTTTTTCTGACCAAAATGTGACATTCTCAATTAGGGAACTCCAATTACATTGGTGTGAAAGCAGTGTTAATGAAAAAATTGACCGAATGGATAATAATAATATTAATATGATTCAATTGTGGATTGTCATGAACAACTGATGCTAGAAACAAGTATACAGTAAATATATAAAAGTGACATTGTCTATTGTACTCTTTTGTGTACACAAGTCCAGATAAAGCATTTCTGTTTAGGCTATTTGGTATGTTTATAATGCTGAAATGATGTAAACTACAACATAAAATTAAATGCAAGCTTTGTAATTTAAAACACCTTGCACTGTACCTCTAAAGCAAACTATATTAAACGATGTACAGTCATTCCATTCTCTAATTTGTGACATTAAACAAAAAATGTTTTAATTTTTGATCAAATATTCAGTAATGTTTTCTCAAGAAACTGCAGTCACTTACAGGAAAATGTGTGTACAAAATTATTTACAATTTAATTTGAAGGTAAAAATATTCTTCTTAATCTCGATGGTTTCATCTTGCTGTTATAATTTGTTTAGACTTTTTTCTAATTTTTTACGTTTATTGAAATACCTGGCGTGAAAAGGTCGGTGTGAGGTTATAGTTCAGGTGGGTAGCTGCGTCAGCATGCGTAGGCTGCAAAGGAACAAGTAATAGGTTTATTCCATGCTGAAAAAAAGAAGAAAGAGAACACAACGTTTCGGCCGCGTAGCCTTCTTCAGGCTGAAGAAGGCTCCGCGGCCGAAACGTTGTGTTCTCTTTCTTCTTTTTTTCAGCATGGAATAAACCTACTACTTGTTCCTTTGCGGTATGAGGTTATTACAAGAGGCCACTAGATGGTGCCCAAATACATGCTAGATTTCTGGCGAGATTTTAAACTGCATTTTTATTTTTCGTTCATTGTCTTTCCTGCGGAAGCCATGCTTTTTTGTGTACGTAAAAAGTGGACAAATACGGTGACTTAGATTTAAAATTGTTAATGTCTACTTTATGTTTCTTAAATATAAATGTACTTAATAAAATATAAAACGAACTTGTTTTTGCATAAAACTGCTAACAAACCAACTCGGAACAAAATTGCTAGCTTTCTTCTAATTAGCTTGATTTTAATGAATAAGAGAAGCATCAAACTATGATTAAAGTGTCTTTATGACCTTTTCTTGATGTCATCATTTTGCAAATAACCTTTTGTATAGTACTTGAATTCCTTACCCAAGAGATATCAAAGAAGATTCAAACTTTGAAAAAGAAAAATGTGAAAGGTTCGTTCCTGCCATCTGTACAACGCTCAACAGAATGCTAGGCATAGGTAACAGGTGTCTAGTCACCAGATTGTGTATTCAATGGACACTTCACTGTAACAGGTGTTGCAAATATCTCAACAGACTTTTACCAAGTATAGCATAAGATGTTTAATTAGTCCATTTGGGGATTGTTTCCATAAAAAAGTTTTATGCGTGATTTATACACAAAAAGAAAGTAAAAATATGGAGACATCAAGTGGAGAGAGTAAAATAAAAACACAATGTACAGTATCTGCATTTAAAATGGTACAGAATTGACTATCTTTTACACGAACAACATTATTCTTTGAACATTAAAGGGACAAACTTAATATTTAAAATCACTAAAATGAGTGCAGTCTTTCTGCTGTTGTAAATAAACGTATGCACCTGCTAAAGATGCATTCTCAATTCTCAATAGAATATATTACTAAGACAAACCCTGGGTGGGGTAATTTCTAAAGATACTTAAACTTGAACACTTCTTTAAAATTAAGGAAATAATTAAAATAGAACACAATTGTATGTACTTAAAAATAAATTATAAATATATAAATCACATCATATTTTCCCTATTAAATCTTTCTTGCACAATGCATTATAGACTGCACATATCAATATTATTTCAGGGTTTGAGTACATGTGAAATGATAAAAACAAAATTCATGTCTGCAGCATCAATTTGAATTTTGATCAAGATTCTGTTTTGGTATATTGTAGTACTTTATTTGTGATACATAAATTGCAATGTGTCATAGTGCACAGTGAAGAGAACAGTATTATATGTCAAAAGTCCTTTATAGAACCATATATCTATGACTAACATTTCCTTCTTTTACAATCTGGGTACCGTCAGGGTCTCAGGATACAATGAAGTGTTACATGAAGATTAGGGCCTTCTCTTATTGCATTCTAGAGAGCCAAAGGAAGAAGCAGAATCTTGTTTGTCACTGCTCTGAACCTGAAATGCGCTCTTTTATGAACATTGGGGTTTTGAAAGAGAAAATAAAAGCATGTTTGACCATTAATATCAAATATGTCTTGCCCTATATAAAGAAGAAATGAAATGTTGGAGTTCTGAGAATGAGTAATGCTCAACCCCTTCAAATTTCATGGGCGAATACCGACCCCTGAGTTACCCGCATTTCAAAGCGAAATCTCAAAATGCCTGTCAAATGCCAAACGCCTGGAATGACTTCCAATTGAATTGATCTTAAAAAATAATTAAGCAATCAACACATGATGAAATGGCTAATTATGAAATACTCAGATAACAAGGGAAAATTATGGATATTCTACAACTGATGCATTTAAAGATGAGGTTTAACTGGAGGTTTGTTGTTTTAGGGGCTAAATGGATGCACCTTCAACAGCAAAATCCTTTCTTTGACAGATGGCACCCAGCAATACCCATCTGGTGGTTTGCAGACTACCGAGAAAGATTTATTTTGTGCAACCTGCAATTTATCTTTGGACCACCCTAGAAAGCTGCAGTAATCCAACATTTAACATCACAGGAATACAAAAGAAAAAAAAAAGCTTTCCTCAAAACAAGTTTACTCTATATCTAACAAAAAGATACCAAATACCGAAATTGTATGCCATATGAATTCATAGGCGATGCTTCAGTTGCTTGCAATAAAAAATCAAAAACACAAATCTGATATTTGTTCCATAACAACTAATGAGCACACATATTTAATTTATTGGATATGGACTAGCCAGTTTGATTTTTTTTTAATTCAATTTTTAATTCTTGATTGAAGCATTCTTCCATTCCACAGCTAATAGCAAAATGTTAATTGCTGATGAGTGAGGCATTGTAATTTCAGGTTGAATGTTATGATGTCACCCTGATTCTTATCTTCAGACTGATATTGTTTATGTTATGTATATTAATATATGTTGATATTCTAATAAGCCTTACAATAGAATTCTTTTATGTTTTTCACCAGATTCAGAGCGTTTGACTTACAACACAAGGCAAACAACTTCTGGGTGAAATAAGCGTACCTGCTGAGATAAATATAGGGATAATGCAGTGTGTTTACACTGTATAATAGATGGCAAATTAACACTTATAGATAGTGCACGTCTATGAAGTTTTTTAAAGACTGTCTAGCAATTACAGTAATGCATTGTGGTTTATGAAGTCTTTCCATTCTCCTGTCTCCTTTGCAGAGTGCCCAATCAGTGTAGGTGGATTAGTCATTGGAAAAATCATTATCTGTAGACTTAAAAGAAGGCTGAGGCATCACTTTTCTCTTACTAGTGTTAGGCAATGAATATAGCTGTTTGGAGTTCACCCAGATGGTGAAAACATTTGCTTAATATTTGCCTGGCAACTGGAATGAAATGCAAAGATTTTTTTCCCCTATTTTAGCCTGAGATGCTATCTACCTCATGAACTTTAGGAGGATTTCTGAAGACACATCTACACCATCTGCTCCAGGGGCACATACATTTGTTCCAGCCATCTTGTTATCAAGAAAAGAAGACTTAACCACCTTATCTGCCAGAGCTTGGTCATATTCTTCATTCGGAATCAGGATTGTTTTTTAGCACATGGTAACTTTTTCATGTTCTGCTAAGTCTGAATAACACCATCCTATGAAACTTCGTTTTATAATGGTGATTTAGAAAATGTCCACGAAACTGAAATAACTAAAAGAAACAGGAGTGTCTACCTTTAATTTAAAAAGTCTAAAAGTCTTGGTTAAGAGTATTGCTGTATGCAGTGAATCCTGCAGAATAGAGAAGTGTAACGCTACTGCACATATACAGTACATATTACAAAGCATTTATCTACTAGAGATAATCAGATATGTGAGATCAAGTGAGAAAAAGGCTGTAAATGGTAAAGTCATAAATACATTCAGAATTCTGAGCTGGCCTTTCACCAAAGATAAGCTTAATTGAACATGCTGCAGTATTTGGATCTGGCTATCCACTGAAGCCTGATTGAACACAAGCAGGCCGTAGTTGATTGATCCCTGCAAGTGTATAAATCCCATAAAATGCACTTCCCACAAGATACTGAGAAAGATCCTGTGTCAGGAAGGCGTAACAGTCTTGAAGCCCAGGCCTAATCCCCACAGTGTGGAAGCACATTGCTATGCTTCCAAGGACAAAGAATGGCATCAGAGTAGCAAGACACCTAATATTTTGACAGCACTGTGTGGATTTAGAATACAAATGACTTTGAAAAACTGGGTATCTATTTACATATAACTTCTACACAGATATCATGACTATTTCAGTTAACAGCCTGCATAAATAAGGAGATGGAGATTTAATGTTTACTGCTTTGCCTTTGTGTGAACTTTTATTTTTGTAAATACATACACATATACTGTACTATAGTCATATTTCCCAACCCCTGGTCATGTGGACTGACTAAAGTCACAGGAGCAATGGTAAGCAGTCCCAGCCATGTCCTGATAGACAGAGTCAAAGAGGCACAGTTCCAATACGCAAATTCAATATTTTTTCTTCCATTGTTTTTAGTTTAAGCAGCCCTCAGATGAGGAAACACTTAGGGAGATGGTCTCCAGTACATTAACTATTGAGAGTCACTGTACTACAGCATTTTAAATTGTGGTTTCCTTGATGTGCACTAGGTGGCACCGATTAGCAAATTATGAACAAAGCATTACACAACCGTGCTCTACACTAGAGGTACATTTTTTATTTTGCTTGAAGGGAACTGCTATAACCATTTGTGTAATTTATGAGTTTTAAAAAGTACATAGAAAGACATGCAGTGTCTACCTTTTAGTTTTTCAGCAGTCATAATCATTTTACCACGATTTTCTTCAGAGCTGTGTATATCATAGAGAGACTTTTCTTCTGTGTGTTATCTATCCTGCACTCACTATATATTTACTTGTCATATAATACATAGATTTGTTTATATTTGTATTTGATTTAATTGTATAATAAGTGTCCTTCTATTAATCTCTCTGTGTACATAGATTATAGATTGAAATTGATATATTAGTATACGTTATATATTCACATGAAAACATACATATATATGTTATATATTTACATGG